TGTGCTCAATGGGGCTTCTAGTGGCTGATTTTTCAGAAGTAGATCACCAGGCTTTTCTTCTGAGGTGCCTCTGGGTGGACTTGCTCCAGCCTTTTGGTTAGCAAACAAATACATTAACTGTGTACCACCCAGACACTGAGACTAAACATAGAAGTCTGTATGATCCATGCCTGCCCAGCCCTCCCCCAGCCTCATCCAGTATTTCTTTCCCCTATGGTGGCATTGTACATAAGGCATTTGACTGTTAACCAGAAGGCTGGTGGTTCAAATCCACCAGCCCCTCCTCAGAAGGAAGATTGGGCAATCTACTTCCTTAGTGATATCGCCTTGAAAATCAAAGGAGGGGTCACTATGAGTCGATCCAACTCAACAGCAGTGACTTTGGTTTTTTGGTTTATATCACACCCCATTCCAACCACATTAGCCTCCTTGCAGTTTCCTCCTCTTAGACTCTCCTCCCCTTGATATGCCCTTAGCTAATTCCCCCTAATATTTCAAGACTTTGCTCAAATACCTCTTCTCCAAGGCCATCATCCCCCCAGTACTGTTCATTCTCCTACCCTTCTCTTCTTTTTTTCCATAGCACTTAACACCTTCTATACAATCCATTTAGTTTGCTAGTTAGTTGGTTGGTTGGGTGGGTGGTTGGTTAGTTAGGTAGTATCTCCCTCTTCTGCAATGCAAACTCCTCAGCAGGCATATTTTTTCTATTTTGATTGCTGATATATTTCAAGCACCTAGGACAGTACCTGGCATATGGATAAGGGCCAAGAAATGTCTGTTCAATGAATGAATAAAGGAAGAAGAGGAAAAACAAGGTCAGTGCTATTCTGGACCGAAGGGGATGTGGTTAGGGTGTCTGAGTTGAACAATTGCAGGGACATCCTTCACACAGACTACAGTATGAATTAGGGTCCTGGACTTGTGCAGCACAGCAATCCTAGAGATGATGATCAGGAGATCCTGAAGTGAGTTCTGATTCTACTTCTTACCTCAAGAGCAGTGTGACCTTGGCAATTCCTCCTTCTTTTTTTTTCTAAGAAAAAAAACGTCCACCCCCCCACACACTCTAAGAACAAGTTAGATCTTTTGCAACAGATTTGCCCAATGCATTATATCATTTGACTGCTGCTTCCATGGATGTTGATTGTGGATCCAAGGAAAATGAAATCTCTGACAACTTTAACCTTTTTTTTTCCATTTATTTTGATGTTATTTACTGGTCTAGTTGTGAGGATTTTTGTTTTGTTTAGTATGTAATCCATATTGAAGTCTTTGATCTTCATCAGTAAATGCTTCAAGTCCTCTTCACTTTCAGTAAGCCAATTAATAAGGAAGACCAAATAAGAACTGATGCATTTGAATTATGGTGTTGGCAAAGAATATTGAATACACCATGAATTTCCAGAACAAACAAATCTTCCTTGGAAGAAGTAAACCCAGAATGCTCCTTAGAAGGTGAGGATGGCAAGACTTTATCTTGCTTAATTAGGACACAGTGTCAGAAGGGACCGGTCTCTAGAGAAGGATATCATGTGTGATAAAGTAGAGGGTCCATGAAAAAAAGGAACACTCTCAACAAGATGGATGGACACAGTGGCTACAGTGATGGGCTCAACATACCAATGGTGAGGATGGCACAGGCAACATTTCATTCAATTATTCATAAGGTAACTATGAGTTGGAACTAACTCAACAGTATCTAACAACAAGAAGAGTAAGTAGTAAGCTTACCATACTGTGATAGATTGCATGTTGTTGTGATGCTGGAAGCTATGCCATTGTTGTTTCAAATACTAGCAGGGTCCCCCATGGTAGACAGGTTTTAATGGGGCTTCTGGGCTAAGAGACTAGGAAGAAAGGCCTGGCAATGTACTTCTGAGAATTAGTTAGTGAAAACCCTATGGACCACAACAGAGTATTGTGAAATCGAATGCTGGATGACGAGCCCCTAGGTTGGAAGGCACTCAAAACACACAGTGGTCACAACAATGGACTTTAATATGCAGAATGGGGCAATGTCTCTGTTATACATAAGGTTGTTATAAGTCAGAGCTGACTCAATGGCATCGAACACCAAGGGCTTAAATGATCCAGAAGGGCCTTGCGTGGTGGCCTAATGGTCTGAGAGAGAGAGAGAGAGAGAATACTACCCACACATATCATTGCTGCATTTTTATGCCTATGCTTGTCCTTTGGAAATTTTGCATAAGGTCCTTTTTCGGTTTAAGAAGCACTGTCTAGATCCATGCCTAATCCCAGAGAAAACCAAATTAACTCTCACCATAAAGTCATATGGAATCACACTCTTGGAAAACATGAATCTTTGTCGGAGCTAAGAAGAGTTGTGTGCCTTGACTCTGGAGTAACCATGGCCGTGAAATTCCTTCAAGAGACTTCATTGATCCTGGTAACTGTAAAACTCTAGAGTAAATTGGTAATAGAAAGCAGAGATAGGCTCATGTCTGCACTGAGTGGAACATGTGGGCCCCAGATCACATTTTAATGATGGAAGATAAATTAAAAGTGATCACCAGGACTCATTGTAAACCTTGATTTTTTTCCAGTTTTTCTTGTACAGCGTGTGTTAAGTTGGTACCAAAAAAACAGACATACCTTCCAAAGTCCCTGAGAGGATTGGGTATTAACTGCAGACCTTCCAAGTCAAAGATTCTGAAGTGTCAATGCAGAGGGAATTTAATATAATTATGTCCCATTTGGTACATGTGTTAAATGCTCCCTTCCTGCACCAAGGGTCACTGTATCATTTCATATTCTTGGACATGGACGTTTTTGAAATCCAAGAAATACTACTGTCTAAGTGGTAACTTACTGATTGTGTGTGTGTGTGTGTGTGTGTGTCTTTCTGATTAGACTGTGGTTCATAGTCATTGTCTGTGATGTGCTGATAAAGTTTAGTAACAACAACAACAAAGGCCCTAGTTTATAGTGTTTGCCAATTTCCATGTTGTAAATATTCTCATTGTGACTGATTTTGAGCTATCAATCTGATGTCACTGCACAGAGAGTTTGGAAAAGATGCACACAACTGACACTCCAGATTTGTACAAGCTCTAGCACATGGTTGGGTGGTAGAAAATTTAGAAACAGGATTAAAAAAAGCAGAGTAAGTAAATCCATACTATTGCTGCTGAGAACAAAATCAGTTTTAATATTGGATTATATTACTTTCTAGTACTTTCTCTGTGTTTTTATGTAATCATAATCATTTTATACAGAGGTAATCCTAAATTTATGATGTGTTCTAGTTATGGTGAATCACACTTACAACCATTCATTATTTTTGTACATCTTATTGTTTGTAATATATACTATACAGTGCTGCAGTGCAGAATATTTACTGACATAATCATTCTCAGATGTTCCGTTGCCAACAAGATCAGATTTATAAAGATATTGATCATAAAAAGCAGTGATAATGGGGGGGCAGAAAAGAGGTATTTGACTTACATTAGAACCAACTTATGATGGACTCAAGGGAACAGAACCCTGTCATAAGTCGGGGAGTACTTGTATATAGTTTTGTGTTTTGATTTTATCTTCATAAAGAACTTTTTCATGGTTGCATGATATTCCATCAAATAGGTGTATAATTTATTAGGCTGGATGTTTAAATAGTTTCCAATTTTTTTTTGAGTTTCTATAAATACCACTACATATTGTTTTGCTGTGGGGTCCCTGGGTGGTGCAAATATTTAACACACTCACCTGCTAATGGAAAAGTTGGAGGTTCAAATTCACTCAGAGGCACCTGAGAAGAAAGACATGGTGAACTGTTTCTAAAATATTGGCCATTGACAACCCTACAGAGCACAGTTCTATTCTGACACACATAGGATCACCAGGAGTTGAGGTTGACTGCACAGCAACTAGTTGAATAGCATATCTAGTTGTTCCTCATCTGTTCCCCAAGAGTATAAGTTCCATACAGGCAGTATACCAAGGGTCTAGAGGAGTATCTCATATGCAATGAGTATTTGTTGAATGAGTAAGTATATGCCAGCCCTATACTTAAATGTTTTAGTGCTGTCTTTAATAAAGTCGATTTATATACTCTTTCTAAATATTGAAGCTGGTAGCCATTTGCAATGTTAGTAACAAATATATTCCTAGATTATTTTGGAAGTATTAATATTTTTGTACAAGTAGAAAGTTAATATTTTTATGTTCTATATCTTCCATTGTGATTTTTTCCATTGGAATTGAGCTTACAAAATCTCTCCCCCATAGAGAGATCAGATAATTTCATCTATACATTATTCTAACATTTTTAGGGCACAATTTTCATTTTTTTATTATTTTTTAAAATTTTACCATGATTTGGGTGAAAGTTTACAGAGCAAATTAATCTTCCCGTAATTTGCATGTAACTCTTCAATATGCATAGAATTTATTTTCATGTGTGAGATAAAATGAAGATCTAAATTATTTTGGTTATTTTTAATAACTATTCATGTAATATACTATTGAGATTTTGTTGCTATTAATGATATTTTTTAAAAAAATCATGCTTCATAATTCATAGATTTAATTTAATTTGTGCTCTTTTCCTTTCACCGCTTATAGGAGTCAAGTCTCATTGGACATTTCATAATTATCTCTGATATATTTTCATGGCAGTAGCTTCATGTTTTAAAAGCACTTTCTAGTATTGACTAAATATACTTGTGTTTATTTTTGACATCACTAAAACTGCTGATAAGATACATAGCAAATATAAGGAGATCAAGTAGGAAGTTGGGTTCCCAGAGTGGAGCTATTGAGGACTGGAGTCACCTGCTCCCTTAGCCATATTATCCTGATGCCTTTTCCTTGAAGCCCTGCTGGGTGTTCCTATGATTCAAGAAGTAGCCCTTTGTCATCTCTGTATTTAATTCAGTGTCTGCTTGATAATATTTGTGGATTGAATTGCATTGAAGCAAGTATTCTAAGAACCAACCTTCTTTTTCCTTCTCTGCTTGTTTTTCTCCTTCCCTTAGTTGCGGTCTAGCACGGAGCTCCATCCGGATCTGCTCTCGGACTGCCTTACGGTGCAGCCCCTGCAGCCGGCCACTTCCCCACATAATGCTGCTGCCGATGGGGCTGTGGGATGTTCCCCGGGGCCTGGGCCTGACCTCTATTCAGGTAACTACAGCCAAGGAGGCCTACCGCCATCACCTATACTTCTCTAGGCCCTTCACTCAAGGAATGCTCTTCCTAAATGATGGGTATTTTCCTTTCTCTCTGGGCTACAAGGAGTCCTTGGGGATGCAAATGGTTAACTTGCTTAGTTACTAGTCGTAAGGTTTGACAATTCAAGTCTACCCAGGGAGGCCTCTGAAGAAAAGTCTGGTAATCTACTTCAGAAGAGTTCTAGCCTTGGGAACCCTGTGGAGCAGTTCTACACTGCCCGCAAGGGGTCACCATGGGTCGGAATTGACTCAGAGGTAACCAACAACAACATGGGCTGCAGGGAGTCTCTGAGTCATGCAAACAGTTCACACACTCAGCTGCTAACTATACGGCTGTTAAGTCTACCCGGAAGTGCCTCAGAAGGAAGGCCTGGTGCTCTACTTCCATAGAACTAGACATTGGAAACCCTACATGTGGGATCTCCTTGAGTCAGAATCAACACAGTGGTAACTGAGTTACTAGATGATTTGTATGATCCTAAACAAGTGAAAGTTTACATAGCATTACGACGAATAGAGTATGTGTCAGTTCTGACACATAACAATCTTAAATATTTCCTAAAGTATTGGCTTCCTTTATTCAAACACACCTCTGAAATTGATAAGATAGAGCTTGATTGCAAAGTATTGCCTGAAAAGACTTTGATTTCTGTGGGAGGAAATAATGCTCTAGGTTAAGGCAGCCACATATAACTTGAGGCCATGCTGAGGGTGGTTTGAAATGGAGGTGTTTACTTCTCTTACTATTCTTGGGGCTTCCCAAGCTTGCTCTTGAGCTAACCTGAAAGTCATTTAGGATCTAACAAGAGGGCTGGGTCTCGATGAGCGGTTCTCAAGGATAACTCATTATAATATTTTCTGCCCTTTTGCTCAGAGGTCCTCCTTATCCCAGGTGGATAATGCCCTCTTATAGCCTGTAAATTTAGGCAGTTTATCTACTAATCAGAGGGAGAAGTATTTCGTATCCAATGGCTCATGGTGTGAATGCCACTTCCCAGGCTTAATGCCTGCGTACATTTCTCATCAGCTCCTGGGATGAGCTAACGAAGCAGATAAGCCTCCAGTTAGTGTGTCTGTGGGATTATAGATGGCCTGGACCAGTGCCTGGTCTTGGCAGGAAATCCACTCACTAACAAAGAATGTACTATGGAAAAAGATATGTCCCATGGGTGCTTACAAAAATTCCAAACCTTTGAAACCGTACTAGAGATTTAATAAAACGTGACCTTCACAAATGACCTAAGCCGTGAAGACATCAGAGACCAGTGGGGTTATGTTTGAGTCTTGAGGAAACCTCCCATCACGGGAGAAGCGAATGGGGGGGACAAGAGAAATATGCAAGAATGAGGGAATTTTATCTGTATCACTTCCATTGGGTTGTAAAATAATTAGTGTATTTTAGAGCTTACAAATGCTGTTGAATGATTCCAATTTTTTAAAGTAACTTTACATTTTTCAGAAAAATGGAGGAGTTTTGTTCAGATGTTACAGGGAATTGTAAAAGGGAAATACAGATTTTTTTTTTTTTTTAAGAGCAGGCATTTTTGACATCGTATATTGCTGGGAGATGAGAGTTTTTCTCTTACGATATCATTACTTTCTGTAATAAATGTCATTGTTGTTAGTTGTCATGGAGTCAGCCCCGATTCATGGCGACCTATGTAAAACAGGACTAACCGTTGCCCAGTGCTGTGACATCCCATGATCATTGGATGTTTGAGTCTATTGTTGCAGCTCTTGTGTTCTTCCATCTCATTGAAGGTTTCCTTCGTTTTCCCTGACCCTCTACTTTACCAACTGTGATGTCCTTTTCTAGTGAGTGGTTTCTCTGACGTCCTGTCCAAAGTAAGCAAGCTGAAGTTATGCCATCCTCACTTCTGAAGAACATTCTGGTTGTATTTCTTCTAAGACTGATTTGTTCATTCTTCTGGTAGTCTATGGTATATTCATGGTGTGTAATAAATAGCATTGCATTAAATCTATAGAGAATTTAACATTTTATGAGATAGTTAATGATCCATTTCAATGTGAGTTTATGTTTATACTTTATGTTTATTATTTATTTTATTATACACTTGCTACATTATTAAGTTGAGTATATTTGCTGTCTAGGGACAGCTTGCAGAATTGTAAGAGTTAGAAATATATATATATATATTTTTAATAGAAGTGCCCTATAGAGTCTGCTCTCCAAAAAATGGTCATTAATTAAGGAATTTTATTAGGGGATTCTAAATGGGCACACAGATTTCCCTACAGGTTAAGCTTTATAGGGGAACTGTGAAGATCAAATAACATGATCTATATAAAAGTCTTTTAAAAAGCATAGAGCATTATAAAAATGCAGTAGATATTACTTGTATTATCTTCACAATCACTGCATTGCTTGGAATTTATCAGGGGTGAAAAGGAGACAGAGCAACTTGAAATTGGTGAAGGGGACAAGGACAGAAGGAGGTGGGACTCAGGGTGGGAAAAAAGGAGATTTAAAGGAAACATTTACCAATGTGTCTTTGGGATGTCTTCTCCAACATCTCTCTGAATTTTGCCTTGTTTCTGTAACACTTCTTCTATCTCTATTTATCTGTTCAATTGGATTGGTGAGTCAGTGAAGGTAGGAGTAAGGCTCACAGTTCCCTGCTGTAGGCACTGATAGCTTTAAGGTATAGATTTTGCTCATCTGCTAACTTAAAAGTTGGTGGTTCAAACCCACCCAGTAACTCTATGGGAGAAAAGGTGTGACAGTCTGCTTCCATAAAGATTTCAGCCAAGAAAATCCTAAGGAGTTGTAGTCTATCAAACATGGAGTTACCATGAATTGGGAGTTGGGGACTGACTAAAAGGCAGCTAACTGCAACAACAGTGCTCAGCTAGAGTTTCTGGATAGTACACCCAATTAAGCATTCAGCTAGTAACTGAAGGTTTGATGGTTCAAATCCACCTGATTTTCTTCTAAATGATCACAGCCATTGAAAACCCTATAGAGCATAATTCTCTGATGCACATGAAGTCACCATGAGGTGGAATTGACTCAGTGGCAAGTGGTTTTCTTTCACCCTGAACTAGTCCTTTAGTGTGCATTGAATCACTTTGAAGACTTGTGAAAACATGGTGGCTGGACCCCTGGAGTTTCTGATTCAATAGGTTTGAGTAAGTCCCAAGAATTTAGATATCTGCCAGGGGTTTCTAACAAGTTCCTGGGTAATGCTGGGTGCTGCTGGTTCATGGACCACGCTTGGAGAACCATTGCTCTAGACTCTAAAATGCAGTGAGTGTGACTTCTAGCAAAGCATGAACTGGATTTTGACCAGTAGTAATCACAGAGAATTGCCCTATAACATATGTTTCTGTTTCTTACTGTAGGACATCTATAAACCCAAACCTACTGCCATTGAGTTAATTCCAACTCATAGCTACCCCCACTGGGTTTCCAAGGTAATAATCTTTACAAAAGTAGATTGCTCCATCATCCTTCCATGGAGTGTCTGGTGAGTTTGAATCACCAACATTTTGGTTAGCAGTCAAATGCCTTAGATACTACACCACCAGACCTCCTTAGAATACCTATAGATAGATATTACATATCTCCTCCCAAAGCAGTGTTCTAATGCTCATGTTTTCATTAAGTATGAGATCTTATAACCACCCAAGTGAAGAATATTAAAATTCCATTTCCCAGCCAGCCCTGGGCACATCTGTATATACATGGCTGATGTTAATGCCATTATATGTTTATGAGCTGCTTAATTTTGTGCTTCAATTTTCTACATCTACTTATTCCTTTATTTATGCTAGGTTTTCATGCAAGATTAAACTGAATTATTCAGTTTTACAATATGGACAAGTTTTAGCTGTAGAATACTGTTTTTTGTGGGTGAGTAAAAACAATTCCAACACCTATTGAGGAGGACAGGCAAGTTGTGAGGCTGGATAACTGTTGCTTTATTACCACGGGGCAAAGTCTTGGTTGTCTTTATGTTATTACTTCTCCTTTTCCTCATTTTATATTGTCTTGCCAGTTCCAAAATGGAATGTGACAAAGAATCTACTTTGAGGTGTGCCTCCTGCAGGCTGTAGAGAACAGGTAGATGGTAGGATAGATGACTCAGGATAGAATCTTCTGAAACAAAGAGCTAGTAATAAATTTTGTGAGTAGGAAGATATGGATCAAACTTCTGGGTCCCAAGTCCTGACTTTCTGCTTCAACTGCATTTCCCTTCCAAGAAAAGAGAAAAATAGGTGGTTATATCTCTTTTATAGAGAAAAATAAAGAGAAAAGATACTGGAAATTTCCAGGCTGCTCATAGTGAAAGTTGGTTTTCTACTCTTGTGTAATTACTAAAAATAAGTGTTAAGAATAGCAAAAAAAAAAAATACAGTACTGAGTTGTCAGTGAAAGCAAACATGGGTATAGGGACGGATAGATGGGTGAACAAGCTAAACAATTAGGTATGTCTAAATGGAGAGTGTATCCAAGATCATATATAGGGTTGGCAGACAATGGGCCTATGAGTTCATGTGAATGATCAGAATTCCCAGGTGTATAGTAGAGCTGACAAGGGGCAAGGTTATGGTCATTACTTGGTCACAGCCAGCTACCCAGAGGGACCGAGTAGTTGATCCTGCGGGCTTGGGACCATAGTCGCAGGGGACATCAAGCTCAATTGGCATAACATACTATACAAAACATTGTTCCACCTACTACTTGGCGAGTAGCGACTGGGACCTTAAAAGCTAGGAAGATGCCATCTAGATGCAACAACAGGTCTCTCCTCGTCAAGAAGAAAGAAGAAAACCAAAATTAATGGAAACAATCAGTCTTAGCGACTGGTACACCATCCGAACTGCAACCTATACAACTATGAGACCAGAAGAACTAGATGGTGCCCAGCTACCACTGCCATCCACTTGGAAGGGATGTAGGAGATCCTGCATAAAGAGGGAGAACAATGT